TTGTTTGAGGACTATAAGAAGCTCGAGAAGATATTGTCAGAGATTTTGCATCTTATACAGCTCTAAGATACATCTGCGGTGAAACTGCACTTCGAAACTATTGAACAGTACCACTGCAAGTTTTAAAATCGTTAAGTCTGAACATTACTGGAAATTGTATCATGTACCTCAAAATTATTGTGCATCCTGGTGAGCTGTATCTTGCATATTTTTAATAGCTATATATACATATAAGTACGGAACGTGAGTTGTTATAAAACTGTAAACTCCCCTTTTGAGATTTTAGTATTATAATAATCAAAATGTTTCATTCTCCACAACAAGACACACACACATCTACACAGAACGAATTTTTTGTTTTCGTCGCTATGCTCTTTGTCGTTTTCTTCGCTTTTCGCATTGAAAAATTAAGGTTTGTTTTTTTCGCTATTATCCGAAAATGTCTTGTCGCTCTCTTTGTCGCGTCACTGTGTTCTTTGCCTAATAGAGATTTGTGCTGCTTCTGTTAAATTACAGCAGTTCTGGACAAGTTGTCCAGAAGCATGGTTTATTCATGCGGAAATGCAGTTTTGTACAAAAAATATTGCGCAAGAAACAACAAAATATGAATATACAATTACTGCACTCCCGCAAGAAGTAATAATAACAATTTTAGATTTTATACAAAATCCACCGGAAAACAACAAATTTACGGCATTAAAACAAATTTTACTAGAGAGAAACTCGTTAAGTGAGAATGCAAAATTAGATACAATTTTATCTGATTCTCAAATTGGTGATCGTAAGCCATCCGAATTTTATCGATCAATGTTATTACTCTCTGGTTCCAATTTTAGTTCGGATCTTTTTAAAAAGCTTTGGTTATGAAAATTGCCTCAAAATATTAGTGTAATTTTGGCAAGTTCAAGTATTAGTGACATTAATGAATTAACGAAATTAGCAGACAATATCTGGGAACAAATTAGCAACTCAGAACTAGCTTCTGTAAGTAATTTTCAGAATTCAAAATGTGAAAAATCGGTTATTGAGAATTTAGTAAGAACAAATAAAATTGCGTGTGAAAATTTTCAAAAACTGTCTGGAGTTAAGTGAAATTAAAAAGAATATTCATCATGTAGTCGCATACTATTATTAGACTAGCTTGCACGTATGTAAACATCGTGAATACGAACATTGTGCTAAATGATGGCAACTTTGACATAACGAAAAAAGAATGTTAACGAAAGAAAAGAACGCTTGTAAAATACGGTATATAGCGGAGAATGAAAAACAGATTTATAAAAAGAGCGACAATTCTAGTGTGCAGACGTACATATAAAGGTCAGCTATATTTTCTGTACAATCGTTGAACAAAAAAAAAAAATTACCGCAGCACCACGAGCTTTACAACTCTGCGGACAGGATAACTCCGGCAAAACAGGATTCGACAAAGTGAATTTTAAGAATAATACCAACCGAGTGGGGAAATGCACCGCCTGTCGAAAAGTGACATGCTGGCTAGGCTACGGGAGCGAGGTACTGAGATACCATCCAGCGCCACAATTTCGCAAATACGGGAAATGTATGATCGATTAACTGATGCACTTGAAGTTTTAAATGACGCACATGAGGTACTGACTACTGATGCCCACGCTTGGAAGGAAGATATGGCTTCCGTCCCACACACTGCCGCAACAAATGCTACAGGTGCAGCCATGGAAGATGTGTCATTGGCTGCTGTAG